TCATAATTAAGTTTAGCATATTAAAAATTAGGATTGGTAGGGGAAATTAAGGTTTCCAGGCAATTGCATTCTTTATGTGGCTACAATATGGAGCAAAGGGAAAGCAAAGTGTACATAAATTATAACCCCGAAAGAGTAACTGGAAATTACTAACAGAAAATAAACTAATATTAACATTATCTGTCTTCCTTGTTATTCTTATCTCTTCCCCTTTTCCTGTCTTTACCTTTAATCCACCTATAGCTAGGCTGTGAGTTTTCAACGGCCTGAAGTTAAGAGATTTTATGGTGCCTCCATTTTAGATGGTTTCTTGTCATTGAGTCAGTATCTAATAGCCAATAAAAAAAATTTTAAATCTATTTAACTAAATTAATCAGAACATAGAAGAGTCTAGAACTATTCCCTTAGAAGTAACAGAGTGTAGCTTTTTTTAATTTAGTACATGAGTCTGATATAGGGGTTTAACCTTTAAATAGAACTAATAGTTTTCAGACTGAACATAGTTTTAATTGATAAAATTAACTATCTCATGAAAAGTCTAGATTAAGGAAAGAATACTGGCCACAAGTAAACCAAATATATATTTAATGACAAAAGAAAAGAAAATTTATCAAATTTGATGTATTCTTTCTATGTTTAGTATTTTCTATTCTTGAGTTGCTCATCTATCAATTACATGCACACCATGAAAGGATGTTAGACAGAAGATAAAAAAAACCTTTTATATAAAGGATGTGTTGTCTTGAACTTTTAGATAAAAGCAAAGGCTGCAAATCCAGAAAGGCTTGCAAGTTTTGTTTTCTTTATGCTTCATCATACTTTTCTGTTGATTCACCTCCAGTGAACATTTGAAAATAATAAAAGTATGGCATAATGCTTATATTCTACTACTGCAAGTGTTTAATAGAGCTGTAATGATTGCATGTCTCTTTAAGCAAACACAAAAGAAAAACTGAACCAGGGATTGTAGCTACATGCTTTGGAGTTAGTCCTGTAAGTTACAAATTACCGTTTATACTTTGGAAAATTTGAATCAATTTGGGAAAAATATCCTTTGCGTGTGCTTTTTTCATGATGAGTTAGTTCATGATAAAACCCATCCTGTAGGACAGTTGGTTAGCCAGTGCATGTGATCTTTCTAATTTTTTTTTTGACAGTTGGTTAAGCTAAATAGAAGCGTAGATGTGAAAGGTGCAGTGCTCTTTGGAGCTAATTTGGATGCGTTCATTTGTGAGTGAATCTGAGGTTGGTTTGCAGAATTCTGTCAGTGCTTTTACGTACATCTCTTTCTCTCCATTCTTCTCCTTCCTTTTACATCAGTCTTACCTGTGGCAGTAGCTTACTTAATTTATAGTAAGCAAACTGCTCTTATGGATCTGTAGTATATCCTCGGAGTGAAAAAAACCCATATTCTTTCTCTCCTCAGCAGAATCTGAAAACGTTGCCCTTTTCCTATTCCTGTGTTTATTTCCTCTTAAGTTCTTTTTCCTGTCTCACTAAGGTGTGATTTTTTTTCCTGTAGCTGCTTTAAGATGCTTATCATTGGGTATGTATCTCTGAATAAACAGGTGCAGGAGCAGTTTTTATTTCCAGTCTGGATGATGCCTTTGGGAATCTAGATGATCCATGATGTCAAATTAATCAGTTGTATTTGTCAATTTCATCTTGTATTCAATTTCAAATTTCAAGAAATTTTTAGAGATTACTAGGACTGCATAGATATGTGATGTTTGCTCATACCAAGTTATTTTAAACTTTTGGCTGAGTGCCAGCACTCAAAAAAGGTTTTAACATTAGCATTAGCTTTGAGTCTAGAAAAAAAAACTTAGCACAGTTCTATTTGTATTAATAGTAATCCAAGCTGATAGTAGATGCAGACAGCCAAAGCCTCTTAGGCTGAACACAGTAATTCTGATGTTGCTGCAAAACCTTGGTACACATCAAATGCATGAGAGATGATACTCTGATTGGAAGACATTTATGAGATGTTTTAATGAGCAGACCACCTTTTCATTCAGAAGAATGGTGATTATTCTGGTCCCTTGTCTGCAAAAGAAAAAAAAATGTCTGAGAAAGAAGCCTTAAATAACAGGTCAAAACTCAACTGTGGTACTCTCCTTTTCCATCATCTCCTGTCTTCAGAGGGGCTACTGACTTTCCTGGGGTGCTGTGAAGTTTCACTTTCATGTGGAAAGGTAAACTGGTTCACTCTCAAATGAAAGCAGATTTCAGATGAGTCTGTTTGGCAGCAGTGTGGGCAGAGGGAAGGTATGAGGGTTCAGGGAAGGTATTTTGTTTCTTAAGTTCAGTCACTAGTACTTGTTAAGCAGGTAAAAAGTTCAAAGCAATGTTTCTTTGCTAGTTTGAACCTTTTAAAATGTGCTCTAAATATTTTTTCATGCTGAAGAAGTATCCAAGAAGCAAAGGACTCGCTGCTCAACCCTAGTTTCTTTGCTGTAAAGCAAAAGTAATCTGAAGTGTATGTTGGCATTTTAAGGTAAGGGGAGGGAGGAAGGAAACAGGCAGGCAATGAAAGAAGGGAAGGAAGGGAGGGAAAGGGAGCAAAGGGAAGAGAGGAAAGGGAAGGGAGGAAAGGAAGGAAGTTAGTTCCTACTTTGGTTCTTTAATTTAAGTTAATTTACAGTTTGGAGGGGAGCAGACCCTGAGAACCTCTCATGTCTTGAGAGGTTCTCAGGGTCATGACAACATGCCATAACAACATGTAAAACGAAATACAATCTCCAGGTTTCAGTCTGTGATTTTCCCCAAAAAAATCTCAAAACCTGTATTTTAGGGAGTGGTACAAGTGTATTAATGAATAAGCAATATGCAGAAACACAGCAGAAAACCATGTTTTTAAGATATTTGGTGATGTTACTTCTGCACCCAGAGCTGGTTTAAAGGCCCCTCTTTTGAAATGGTAGAATAAATATTCCATAGCTACATGTCCCTTTAGAGTCTGGAGCAGCATGTTATTGTTTTTCGAAAGACCATTTGACATTATTGCTTTCAAATATGCTAATATTATTTTGTACTATTTGATAAACAGCTTTGAGTGGACCAGAGAATAATTCCTAGAGCTGAGATATTTTTGCAGTTACAAAAGGAACTATAGCATCTCATGAAAAAAAAAAAAAGGCATTGCCACTTTGCTGAAATGCCATGGAAGTAATCTCTTGTTTACTTAGTCCTTTTTATTCAAAAAGCCATGTCTGAATTTTTGTGGTAGGGAAAGATGATGTTTTCTCTGACAAAGGCTGAGTAAAAAGCCAGTCCAAGAAAGCAAAGTATTCCTTGGCTGTGAAGTTGAGTCCTGCCCTAACAAAGAGAAGGACTTGTGTAATGCCACGCTAGTGGCAGGAGAGGGAAGACAGGCCTATAATGTGAGAGGAGCAGCAGTTTATCTGTGGGAATCAAAACAACAAACAGTGCTTACAGTTTTCTCCTCCAGTCCTTTCCTCCCTCACTGCTGAGTGGATGTTAAAACCCCCCTAACAATGCGGCCGTTGTGGTTTATGTAACCTTGACTGGGCATGGCTTCTCTACACAAACTCCTGGGCAAGAACTTGTGTATCCTGGTGAATTGACATGAGAAAAATGAACTTCTCTCCTTATTGTGGACAGAATTAAGATTTTTTGCTGTTTAGTGTGTGGTAAGGGATCCTGTTCCAAAACACTTCAGAGCTGGGAAGCAGAATACAAAAAGTTGGCAAGGGAGTTGGGGCCAGCCGTGTCTGGTGGAGCAGGAAATCAGCTTCCTCTATGTTATTTCCCTCTCACATTCCGCCCTTCTCCCTTAAAACTTCCCCTAACTGAAAGGTAGGGGTGGAGTCCCAGCAATGCCTGCACTGAATTGCATGCAGGAACAATCAAGGAGCACAGTGTGGTTTTTAGTGCTAGGGAGTGTTTCAGATGACAATGAAGTAGCAGCCTAATTAAACCACAGTCCTTCTGTCTGTATGTGGTTGAGGCAATTGAGATTAGCTCTTGGTCCTATTCAAATTCTACTGTAATTTGTCAGGTACATTATGTGCATGCCTGAATCAGTGAAAAGTAAAGGGAAATACCAAACTACCAATGAAAAGGAGTTGAAATAATGAAGAATATTTCAATTGATTGTGTTTTGAACTTCACAAGTGATTTCAGGGTGTAATGAATTATGAATTTATATTGAAACTCCCTACATGATACTCACAATGGAAGCCTTTTTGTGAAATCTGCAGTGAAAAGTGAAAAAAAAGCACTATTGGTAATTTAAAAAGTTTTGTTTGAGGGTGATCTAAGCTAAAACTGATCTGTTACTTTCCATGACATTTTATAATTAAAGTATGAATTTGTTGCTCTTATCTGCAGGATTGCCTTCACTCTACACATTATTAGCTTTTACATTTTAAGAGAACAATTTTTATATTTGTATTTAATGATAGGAACTGTAGAAACTCATGGTATATTTTCAGTTGTGCTGTTTGTGTTATAATACTCACGAAGCTAATGGTTTTAAAACTTCTGACTAGCTCCTGCTTTTCAAAATACTACATCTGTTAATGACTGAATTTTACTAGCTTTGTGGTTATCTCAGTGGGATACTCCAAGTCTGGAATGAGTGCTTGTGGAAAGTATGGCAAGAGTGGGCCTTATACACATTGCTCATAAATGTCCTGTGCATGAATTGTAATATCTGAATTAATTTTTGCTGTAATAATGCTGAAAGTTTTTGTTGGCATTCTTTGGTATTGTAGTCAAACTACACAGTATAGTTTCATAACGTGCCTATAAAAATAATTTAACAGACAGACTGAGTTAAAATTTATATGTATAATCTCACATTTATTTAAAACTAATATGGCATATGTGTAATATGCATCCTAATGAACTAAAGTCAAAACAGCGTACATTAATAATTAATTCCCTGGTGTGGTTACTTGCTGTCATAATGACATTTTAAAAGTTTGGAATGTAAATAAATACTTTTTCATTGTGTTTTTTTTTCTCTTTAACAGGACACTACAAGTATAGAAAAAATGTCTAACTGTTGTGAAGACATGTAAGTTCTGTAAAATTCCTACATTGCTGAAATGCTAAGGGAGTAGCTCTTTGTTAAAATGATTTTGCATGGTACTGTGCGCTGTACTTCCTATCTGTAGCAGCACCTCACTAATCTTTTAATAGAGGTTGTAAACAAAACAGCTGCATGTTGTTCCCTTTCTTTCCCTACTCAAAGCCAGTGGAACTATATTTTCTTTTCAGAAGTACAGATCAAAAGATACTTTCTGCAGTGTTTTGACATACATTTCATTAATATTGAGGTCTCCTGTGCTTCAAAATTTGCCTTTGTTTGATTGATGACACAGATAATTTCTGTTCTCCAAAGTTAAGTCTCAGCTGCGCGTCGTAATGAAATAAAAGTTGTATTTGTGATGCTTGGACACAATTCATCAGAGTCCAGTATTGGATTCCCAGCCAGCCTACACTGTTGTAGCTGACTGAAGTGCGCTGTGGGCATGCTGTCTTTCGCTAATAATGCTGTCTTCTGTAGATCGAGGCCCCAGAAGCCATGGCAGCAGACCTTCTCAGAAGTTTTTGGCACTCATTGGAAGATCCTGTGGTTTATTCCTTTCAGGCAGCGGCAACCACTGCGAGTTCCCTACTACTTTGCCAGTCATGACTAAACAGATGGATGGTGGGCGCAGATGGGTCCTCCATGCTGGAAGTGCATTACAGGTTTTATGATAATAGGACTGTGACAGTCTTCAGGTCAATTAAAATCCAGTCATAGGCATCACTGTGTGGCCCGGGCATTATTTTAGTTATGGTCTGGATTTTATTCTGAAATTAAGGCAAGTTAAACAATCAACTTCAGGCTTATTTTCTTTCAAACTAGCTTTCCAAAGAGATTCCTTTTGTCTTTGAGGTTAATACCAAAAGCAAACAATTGGAATGTAATCTTCATCCAGTTTGATACTGGCTCTTTCTTTTTCTTCCTTTTTTTTTCCTTTTCTTTTTCCTTCTGTTTTAATTTTTGTGTAGAAAGCACTGAAGTTTACATTGGTGGTTAGCTTTCTCACTAAGTGTCTTATTCTGCCTTGAAATTTTTTTAGAGTTTTTATCAGTAGGTCAGTCTGGATAATAATAATGTCTTTTTTTCTGCTGCATATGTTTAAAATTCCATGATTCCATGAGTTATTTATGATATGCAAAAGTAATCCTGCAGCACTGCACTATAAAAGGTAACATTGAAAGCTGAAGCAGAGTACTTCCTAAGCCTTTCTCAGAGAGGTTTTGTAGAGGCACACAAATGTGTGTGTTTACATGGAGAACAGCTTACAGTTACCTTCTGGCCTAGATATGATGTTAGTGAAAAGTGTTCATGTCTTTATGTCAGTGAGAGGGATTAAATATTTCAGGGTAAACTATGCAGATACTATGCATGTTTTCCCTAAATCCCAAGGATTTGAATCAGCAATAATCAACAAAGAAGTTGCATGGTGCAAATATTAGAATGATTACTTTTAAAAAATATAGATGTAGTTAGTTAGCATAATGTGTCATAAAGCAGAGTATATTGTCAATAAAAGTTAAAAATTTTATATTTACTTTTCTTTAGTCTTGATTAGCTGGAATTGGTCTAAGTGTTTGTATATTTAAAATAAAATTAATTAATATTTATACATATTTATAGATTTGCTATTAACATTGAAATATATAAACACATTTAATAGGATACTATGTTAATGTTGATAGCTTTTAAGTGTGGAAGTAGTTAACCAAAGAAAGTGTCTTTCAGATCTGGTAAAATGATAATTATTTCCAAAGTACCAGCTCGGTCTTCCTGTCTCTGAAAAAGTTATGTACCTGCTTTAGCTCTCTGTATCTATACAAATATTAACTTCATGATTGTGAAAACTAATATGGATTTCTAGGAGAAATTCACAACTCGGTGTTTCCAGTTATGCTGCTTACTGTGTTTTTTGAGTAGTCTAACAGGACTGGGATCCCCCTTAAATAACAGCCATGCAGCAGGACACAGTAAAAGACACAAAATCAGGATTTTATACATGTAGATTGTGCAGAAAGTAATAGTTTATTTGTGAGAAAAAGAAGAGTAAGAATTTTCATGACTGGTGTTCGCAAAAAATTTTTAGATTAACTCTCTTAAAGTCTTAGTACAGTTACTGCCAATCTTAGGTGTCCCTTTATTGAATTAACAGATTTTGATGATCCACTGAAAGTTCCAAGAAGTGCATCTTAAAAATCACTTGAACTTTAAACTTATGTAAATGTCTAACATTTGATCTGACCTTACTTTTCCTGTCCTATTAAAAATAGATGCAATGTTTCTTTAATTTAAATTTAAGCCTAATGTTCAGCTGTTTCCCTTTTTATTTTCCTCATGCCAGTTGTAGTGAGGTTAGGCTTTCTTTCAAGTGGTATTGGCATATTGGCAGCAATATTTAAACAAAAAGGAGCTTGAGGAAATGGATGAAAAGACTGAAGCAGTGCTTGAAATTGAAAGGAATCAGGACATACATAATAAAGTAATGGCTCTATTATTTTCTTTTCCTTCCCCCCACTATTTTAGTCTCTTAGGAATATACAGGGAAATAATATTTCATTTTCTGTGCCAATATTTAAATGTTTCATGAGCAAAGCATAGTTTGAAATTTTTAATGCTGTTCAGCTATCAGAGCAGTTGGCGCAGTTCTGAACCTTATTCAGAAAGAGAACCAAGAATTTAACTATTTTTTGGTATATTTATCATGGGGCATATAATTGTGTGTTCTGCTTCCCAGTATTACTGTTTCAGGCTGGAGTATCAGTTATACTTTCCAGGAAGTGATGTCTGTAAAAATCTTGCCTGTTTCTCAAATGAAAGTGCTAATTTCACAATTTCATGTTCTCAAATGTTCCCATGTTGTTTGATTTGCTTTGAAATCTACTTTTTCTCAGTCTCCTACTCATCATAACTGATGAATATTCACAATAATTAAAAATATCATAATTGATAGGCATCAATTTGCAACATGATTAAGACTGCTCATTTTTGTCCCTTTTCTTTTTCTAAGTGTTTGGGGGACAAAGGGGAGAATTTGGAGAGTCTTGACATTTTAGGAGGTACTAAATTTAGGAGGTACTCTTTGAATGAGAGGCATCTAAAATGGTAAAAGTAATAATTTTTTTCTTAATTCAGCTGAAGGACGCTATCATGTTATTAGTTTCTCCAAGTAATGTTTCTGAAACTAATTCTCAGAATGAGTTGTTCTGTCAGGAAAAATCAGACTTTATCAACCAATTTAAAATCCTTCAGACCTTGAAATTCTTGAATCCTTTGAGCCATTGCTTTCTTTCCCTCCATAGGAAAAGAAAGTCTTCCTTAGAATTCTTTCTTTTAGTAAAAACTGCAATTTCAAGATTGATTAGTGTTTGTTATTTTTATGCATTAAAAAAAATCTTAAAGACAGTGTTACTAAATTTCATCCTAGTATAATATCCGAACAACATGTACTTTATTAAGAAAAGTGAATCTTATCTTCTGACTTGGCAATATTTGATTTCCTGAAAGGCACAAAGAGAACTTGAAGAACCAATGAACTCCTCTCTGAAAAAATTTGCAAGTAGCTGGTTTATTGACAGTGTGGGATAACTTCTGGTAGGACCGAAAAATGTTAAGTTGCTGTCTTCTCATAATCAGAGATTTGAGATTTCATTTGAAAAATGCTGATGTCTAAAATAAAAGATATTTTATTAAATAATATCTGTGAATCTGTCCTCTGATCTGTTGCTTTGAAGGAGAGATTCCATCACACAGCTGGTCTAGTAGTTCAGTTACACAATAATTTTCACTCTTGAGCAGGAGTTATGAGTCTTGAATTTTCACATACATGGAGTTTTAAGAATAGATTTTCTATGCATCTGTCTTTATTAATATATTTAACTTTTAAAATATGTTCTGAGCTGTCCTTCAGATATTCCTGAGAATTATTTTGACTAATTAGTTTATCAATGCATGGTTAATAAAACACCAAGTGGAATGCCATGTATCCTGGTTTAACACCAGTCAGCAGTTAAGCACCACAGAGCCACTCAGTCATTTCCCCCCAGCAGGATGAGGGGAAGAATTGAAAGAGTAAAAATGTGAAATGTGACAGTGACTGGGGAAGACAAACCCCATCACTCCAAACATTCATGTGTTCCTCCTTTCCCGAGCTTGCTTGCTGAGTGTCACACCATGTGCTGTGGGATGTCCCTGGAGTCAGCTGGGGTCAGCTGTCACACCTGTGTCCCCTCCCACCTCCTTGTGCATCCCCGGCCTCCTTGTAAGGAGCAAAAAGGCCATCCACCGTGTTTCCTTCTGGCTCAGCTGTAAGGAAAGCATTCCTCTGCTATCAACACTCTTCCCAGCGCAAATCCCAAACACAGCCCTGCATTAGGTCCCTGAAGAAAATTACCTCATCCCAAACCAGCAGATCATGACGGATCACATTGTGGTTTGCATTCAGAATCCAGGATATTTAATTGTTCATGTTACCATGTTTGGTTGGTGAGAAGCTCGACTTGACTTGGTAATGTGTGCTTTCAGCGCAGCAAACCACCTGTTCCCTGAGCTGCATCATAAGAAGTGCAGCCAAGAGGCTGAGGGAGGTGATTTTCTCCCACTAAGAAGTTGAATCTAATTCTAAATTAGTTGAAGTATTAGGATCTCAAAAGCAACAGTGTGGTGCTGAGTGCTGGTCGGCACTGCCTTTGGGAAGAACAGGTATTTCTAAATACACCGTCCATACTTAGGTAACATACTACATGACTGGATACTTCAGAAAATGTTCCTCAAAAGATTTTTGTACTACTTTCTCACTGGCTGAGTATTTGCCCTTAGGAGGCATTGAAATACTTGTATCTGTGGACTGCATAAGGCCTAGGATTTCAGTTCTGCTGAAATTATCCAGTGAAATCTTTTGTCTTGGCCAGGCTATGGCAAAGTGGCTAAAACCTCTTGTAGCAACAAGGGCCATCTAAGTATCAATGGTGTACAGAGGTTTTCAAGTTAGAAAATACAAAATTTATCTTCTAATTTCTGTGCAATCCTGGGGATTTCCATGCACATTCCCTGGACTCATATCTGTATATCACAGCGGTTTTCAGACAGGAAATTATCACTCTATCTCTTTAACAGGAAAAAGAGTACTGATTTTTGTAAACTAGCATTCTGAATTTTGTAGCTGAAACATGGGCATGTGATTGAGTTTTATTCATTTGCTCTTAGTTTGATCTTGACTATTTTCAAATAATGCTGAATGAAGTTCCTACTGGAATTGAAAATTATGAGGTCTAACACTGATTATGCCTGAATTGTAATATACGAAGTGAATGACTGAATAATATCAGAACAGGAAAGCTTACTGTGGTATTCTTTTAATCAAATCTGAAAATGCATGAGTATGTTCAGCTATAAGCATTGTATTTTTTTAATTTATCTTTGTTAATTTGATTCATGTAATGTTTCTGTGAGATTTCTTAAGATGGGTTAAAATTATGATTTATTTTTTTCATTCCTACTGAGAATTTTTTTGTCCTGTATTTTTATGAAATCTTATTTTTAAATAAAAAAAAAATTTCTCTTCACTGAATTTCATTTACATTGATTTAAAATTGTGTAAATTGTTTACTAATGTTTTTCAGATGTTTGTAGATTTTTCTAATTAAGTTATAAATTACTCCCACTGTTGTATATTTTTTATTGTAACAAGTGAAAAAGCTACAATCCCAAATGACTCTTCTGAAAAACTGAACTGTGAAAAATCACTGAATAGTTAGTGAGGTACTTACTATCTGAGCTTTGTTGTTTGCTTTAAAGAGAAGAGCTGAATGTTGGTGGAAACATTAAAATCTTTCTCTGTTAGGAATAGTCTATCAACTAATGTTGGTACACAACACTAGTTACAGCATTGGTTAATTTTCTTGCCTATAGTTACAGCCAGAGTAGGAACCTCCGATGTCAGTACCAATTAAGATTTATATAAATTGCCATTTTTCAAATTACAGAAATAGAGTTTGGGGTTTATAATCTTCGGCTTGCATTATTTTTTTTTTTACAATGTATTAGATTGTTCATCCTTGGAGCAGTTTTTGATAGAGTCAAATGAATCTGAATCAGCAGCTCTTCTGTTTTGTGTACATGGGAACTTCTGTCAGATTTTGATGCAGAAAATTTTCACACACTTTGGTCTATTTCAAATGAGATACTGGCATTAAAGAAGTAAAAAGAGAAATGCAACCGTGGCCACAGGAAAAAAAATTAGAGAGCAATCAAGCAAAAGCTGCTGGGTGTGGTGCAGTAGTCTCAACTTAGAAGTACAGGGAAGATTTTAGACACTTGGGAAGATCACTGCAAGACTAGTAAACCCAAGGGAAAAATCCAGTGGTTATGTCTGCAAGGAAATGATTAGCATAGCTGGACTGTGTCACTCCATGAATCAGGAGGCACAAACTACTTGGTGATGGTTTGTGGTACAGGCCTTGCATCTTCTGTTTCAAGCCAAGAACCGGATTCAGCTAATAGCAGAAATAAAAATCACTTCCATAGCAATCTTTCCTGGCTTGTATGAGTGCATGTCAGCTTTTCAATGTGCGGAAGCTGAGATCTATTCCAAGTTGCCCATAAAAGTAATTTTAAAATGTATACACTCCAGTATTTTTAGTGCCTAAGGCTCCTGAAAGTACTTCTTGATGTGTTGCTCCTGAAGGTATTTCTTGATGTGTTTTGTCATTTTATAAACTGAATGAAACAGTATTTTTGAGTCTATAAATTTAAGAGGCAACCAGGTAGTGTGGATGAACAAATGCATGCAAACAGTCCTGTAGTCTGATTTATTACTCATGTGAGCCAAAATAATACTGATGTGGAAGTGCAGTAGGAGGGAAAATTTGACCTTGTGTACTTCAAGCTGAATAAGTAGGCTTGAGGAAGGATGGAGGATGTGTTAGTCTGAATAAAAAGAAGCTAAGCTAAGCTGAAAAAAACCTGGCCATAATTGTATCAGTTATAGCACATTTTTGTGTGTCTTCTAGTTTCACAATAATTCTCTCATTACACTTCCCATCTCAAAAACCTTCACTTTGCTGAAAGATTAGTGTGACAACAGACACGTGGAGCCAAGGCTTTGTGTGGAGTAAGCCAAAAAGCTGTATTTCAGTTGCAGAGAGATAAACATAAAATAAGCTGGATAGGTGCTGCTGAAATGTAGCAACTCTTTAAAGCCCAAGTAACAATTTATTTCCAAATACAGCATGATTTTGCCGTTTAGGATATGCTTCCTGACCTCATTTTTATTCCATGAAGCTTGGACTTTCCTGTAGCTGGGGCCCAAACCCCCAAAAATCCAGTCTGTTGGCTGCCATAATGGGCTCCTCCTTTTTGGTAAGTATAAGATATGTGAGTATGGACAGTGCAGAAATTTGAGCCCTTTAGAGGTGGAATGTGATAATTTGTTTTGATAGCTGATGGATGCTAACCCACTGGGTTAGACTGCAAGTCTGGGGCTCAGAATATCTGCCTTCAGTCATCTGCGTGACCTGTGGTTCTCCCAGCAAAGACACCTGGGTTTCCAACTAGGGAGTTGTGCAGAGCTGCAGTGCTGAAGGTGTACTGCCCATGTCTGTTCAGAGAGATCTGAATTGTGCACTTCAGAAGAAACAGCCATATCCCACACGGCACACAAGGAAGGAATTTGGCCCCCTAACATCCTAGCAGTGCATAGGTTGTTGGAATCCATAAACTTAAAGGGTTTTTAGGAAATGGTTAAAAAAGTATAGGCCTCAGACTGAAGTTTTGTTAGCATTGCAAATACAGCAGAAAAGTTTCCCAAGCAGTAGAGCATACGTGACAAACAACAATAGGCCTCTGTAGAATTGGCTTAAGGATGGCAACAAGGTTATTTAATGTATATCTTTAGAAGGTTAGCATAATTAGAGCTCTGTTCTTTGTCTCTTATGAACCAGTCTTTGTTTTAACTACCATTACGTGTGTTTCATAAGATTGGATAGAATGCTTGTCAATATGTGGTGTTCTGTGTATGATTGGCTGAAATCTAAGCTGAGATAGTTTTATGTTATTCTGTAATACTCCACCTCCTTGGCATTCCCTGTGGATCAGCGAGCTGTTAACATCCTGTCTCCATTGTCTAACAATGTCCTGAGACTGATGTGCTTTAAATAAAAAAAGCTCTTGTCACTGGTCTGGATTGTCCAGTGTTGTCCATATCTGGACGTAGCTGCCGCAGCAAGTGGGTTCCTTTTTTAAAACGTGGGTTCCTGACACAATTGGACATATATTTTCCCATATATACCTGACCTACCTGACCCCCGCATAGGTGACTGGAATTTGAAACATATGTGTTTTTCAGCTCATTCCCATGAACTTCATGGATACACTAAGAAGAGAGATCACATAAGAAACTGTGTTTAGTTTTCTTCTTCAAATTTGGATTAAATTTAAGAATAACAGGTGTGCATGTCATGGGAAATCACCTGAGATAAATTTATTTTGCTTTCAAATATTAAAGCTTTATATGTATGCCTTTTTATAGTAAGTACTTGTAAGGAAATTGAAAATACCTTTCTGAATTTAATTTGGCTATTTTCTACACAGTTACATATTCAGGGCATATTCCTACAAAAGCATAAATGCAGAATGTGTATGGGTGAAGACTAATTCTGGTTATTTTTCACTAACAGCCAGGACTGAAAATTTTTATTGTAAGTCTCTTCATTGACCAGCAGTACATCTTCAGCATCATGAACTGTTCAGCTTTATGTCAAGGTTTTTAATCTGGGACTGAAAAATCGGAATTTAGTTTCCGTGTTCTACCTCAATACTCCCAGAACAAAAAAGCTAAGAAGTGTTTTCTTTAGACTAGTTAAATGATCTCATAGCCTCTTAAATCTAAAAAAAATATTGCTACAGAGTCAAATGCAACAGGTACTACTTTCATATCCTTGGTTAGTGAAAAGCCACAGCAACATGGGTGAACTAGGAAAGGAGCTGCAGTGGCTTTTCTGCTGGTCCAAGTGTGTTCTTTTATTTAATTCTTTTTTGCTGCATATTTGAGAGTTGAGAGCCTTGTTTGGTGAATAAAGCATGTATTTTTAACCTAATGTTGTTTTGAGATAGCAGAAGTAACAGCACTGCAGCCCCAGCACACCAGGCGCAGATGAGGCTGCAAAGGAGTCTGTGAGTAGCAGTGAGGCTCTGTGACCCTTTATCTTCTTGCTTGTTTTTGCAGATGTACACAGAGATGTAGCACAATCCTCCATATCTCAGAGTAGCATCTCTGTGGGTAGGTGATAAAATTTTTGTTGCTAAGTTTATATTAATTTTCAAGTAATGGCAGTGAAAAAAAAAGTCTTGATCTTTTCATCCTTTCTGCTGCCATCAGTTCAGCTGCTCTTGTTCTGTTAAGCACAACTCCTTGGAGTTTTCCTGTGGAATAGCTGAGGTATGAATGGGTGTCTCTGGCTGGGACATACAGTGCACCCTTCCTGAAAATTGCCTAGAGATCTTACTTTTCAAAAACTAGACATTTCAACTGTTTCAAAACTGCAGGTACTCAGAAGATGGAGCACTGATGGAACTGTTGAAGTTTAGCCATAGTCATGTGCAATTGATCAGATTTCTAACCTGCATGTCTTTTTCAAGCAACAAAATGATTCTGAACGTACTAGCCAGCCAAATTGATAGCTATGTACCTCGGAGAGTATTCTCACTAAAATACAAGTGCTGTTTTCTGAAAAATTAATTCAAAAGCAGTTGAAAAGCCAGAGGTTAATGTTATACTTAAGATGTGCCACTCCCTACATATCTTACTTTATCTGCTTAGAAAAAAGAAAAAAGAAAATTTATCTGTCACAGTTAAAATCAGTGAGCATGTATGATTCATAGGAACAATCTTCCAGTTTTGGAGAAGTCTGAATGTAACCATTATTCTTACAAATAGATGTTGAATTAATAAACACAGATGATACAGAGCAGCATTTAGTTGAAACAATTATCTCAATTACATCTCTTTTGTTTGAGAAAGTCAACAATGGCAAATTTTCTGACAGTTATTTGCAACTGATTCTGATAAAAGATTAAACTTTTTTAAGCACATTGTTTCTGTTTATCAAATTTTGGGAAAAAAGACACATGAATGAGTGAAAGAGCAGTTTGTTTTCTCATGAAAGATAGGCAGTAAATAACATTAATGTATTGCTTAAAAGGGGTTGGAGAGAAAGGTGCTATGTCTCCATCTAGGAGAATACTGATGAGGCTCCATATGTCCACTTACCATTACTAGGTCGAATAAGGGTTTTGGCAAACGTACCTTAAATGCACTTTTAGTTATAATGCCTAAAGTCTTTGAATGTGAAGGTCTCTATTGTATTACAGCTGTGGTTGTGTACAAAACCAATGCCATGGATGTTGAGCTGTATTTATTTATCATGTAAAATGGATAGCAAATATGCAATGTGTAATTAGTTTGTGAGGAGGACAGCAACTCCAGGTTTAGTGAGATCTTTGCAGAATGTTATCT